AATTATTATAGTATTACTAACTAATACTATCTAATATACAAGATATAATTAAAGTACTATAATATAAATAATTATGAATGGATTATGTTGAAGTATGTTGAAAGACGTTAAAGAACATTGAAGAATGTCAGAGTACGTAAAAGGACGTTAAAAGACATATAAAGACATGAGAAAACGTTGAAAAATGTGGAAAGACATGAAAGGACGTGAGAGAACATTGAAGAACGTCAAAGGACATGGAAAGACATTTGAGATCGTCATCTAAATGTAAATGTTCCATCAAAATTAAAAATAGTCTTCCACTATACTATCTTACTATGTACATGAATATCATAATACAAAATAATAAAAATGCAGATCCTGAATATTAAATAATGTATAATGTTAAAAACAGAAATGTGATAATAAATATAGTAATAAATGATATAAAAAACAAGAATAATTATGTAATAAATAAAACCATAATAAAATCTAATATTTTATAACTAGGGAAAAATTAAGAAATTAAGGAATTTTATGTCACTACGGTAACAATAATATGAAAAATCTTAACTTATTAATCATGTGAATTTGTTTTAATTTTATATATATAATATAATATAGTATATTATATAATATAACTAATAATATAATAGATATTAAGCAATAATATATAATATATTATATTATATAATATAATTAATAATGTATAAAAACTCTTAAAAATTTATATAAATACTAATTAAGTAGATATTTCTTAAAATAAACAGATGTAATTAATTTTTTAGAGGCTTAAATCTAATACTGTTATCATTTTTGGTATCTCTTGAAAAGATTATTTTGTGGTAGGTTAATAGCTTTATATATAATATTTGCTAAGATAATATATAATAAAGATATTATTAATTACGGATGGGAGAGACTAATATAATCATAAATATAATGTAATAGGCATTAGACTATGATTATAATGAGATTAATGATAAGTAATAAGGGTGTATTCATGACGTAATTAGCTAGAATGAGATCTGGAATTATAATATAAGAAATGTATGATAATAAATAAGACATTATTAATAAAGATCATTAAATTTATAACATTATTATGTTTAAATTATTATTTCATCTTATTATTATTTAATTCATTAGTTTATTTATTATTCATTAAGTTATTTTATTTATTAACTTAATTTTTATTCATTTTTATTATTTTTTAATTATTAACTAAGATACATTACTTTTATACATTTTAGAGGTTTTACAAATAATACTTTTGTTATGATCTAAATGCTACTTTTGCTAGTGTCATAATATCAGTTTTGTTATGATAGTATTGCTAGTTTTGCTATAATAGTTTTGCTAACTTTGCTATGATAATTTTGTTATGAACATTATGCTTGTAAAACTATCTAAAAATATCTATCAATAATACTATCTTAATTATTGTCCAATAAAATATAACTAAATAATTGTCCAATAAAAATGTGAGTATAAAATAACTAATATTAATAAAATATATATAAAAATCTATATTATAACAATACTAAACTAATAAAAATTATTTATATATAGTATATTATTATAATTAACTAATAAAATAAGTTTCACATAATAAAAAAATCACATGATATATTTTAATTCTGACCAAAATATATAATAAGAACCTGATTTAAAATGCTTATAACTTTTTATTTAAAATTAAAATTAAAATTCTGATTACTAATTTAATAATACATATCTTAAACAAGATTATTACCAGTTTATTTTTTTAAAATTTGATTTATTAAAGACTCTAATAAATGGCCTTTAAAATATTATATAATTTATTGATAAGTTAAGATTTTCTATACTATATAATAATATATATTATATTAGTTTGATCTTGATATTATACTAGTAGAAATCATATTTACTTATCTTTTTCTTCTTTTTAATTAGAATTCTCACTTTCTGTATACTTAATTCATGATACTTTAATAAATAACAAATATATAATAAGTGATTCAAAAGTTATTATTAAGAAATCACAAGCTATTATATCACATTCAAATATTAAATGTAAGTATATTAAAAAGACTTATATATATATATTTATGCATATATGTGTTCATTAAATAAATACAAATTATTATGGTTATTGCATTTATTTTTTTCCCTCCCCTCCATTCCATCTTCAATTTCATCAACCAATCAATCATTCAAGAAAAAAAAGCAAAAAATTTTACAATATTATCTTACAAAATGTGTTATGTTGCACATTTGCACGTGCTTCCTAATCATTAGGTAGGTAAATTCAGATTGACATGATCTGGATTTTACAATTCGGATTGATATATAATCCACTACCCTGCTTTAGTATTCCCCTAAAAATTATATAGGTTTATAAAATTATGTGAAATTATGCGCATAAATCAAATTTTGTATGTGATTTGTAACGATATATATAACATAGATTTACATATCGTTGTGTTTATCACAAAATTTTTGTAAATTATGTGATTGTATCCTGTAATATCGTAAAACTATATTATTTATCAAAAGTAATGTAAAAAAAATTAAAATTTAATATTAAATGGAAAATTGTGAATTAAATGCTGGATTAGGATAAAAATTGCATTAAGTGATTCTTTAATGAATAAAATCCGCTTTTTTTGGTCTCCGATAATTCTTAAATGGCAAGTTTCGCCATTTTTTTCTTGCTTTTCGTTGCTTTTGTGCGAGTCACTGTAAACATTGTACATGTAGTTGAATCAATATTCGGCAGGTCTGAATTGCAGCTTAAATTCACCATGAAAGTGACATCCTAACTATGCTTCATCGTCATTTACACGTTTGCATATTTCTGTCCCAATATCATTTTGCTAAGTAATCCACCCATGTTGATTAAATACTACGTAATTTTCAACTTGAATCACTTTTTTTCTTTTTTGTTGTAAAACAATTGATCGTGTAGGTTTCTTTTTCATAGCAAAAATCATTTTTGATTACTGAACTTTTATAGCTGTAAAAAATAAGTTCATTATTTTCAAATGATATATAAGATTTTAAATTTTTGATTAAAAAATTTGACCCACTGATTTCAAATGATTTATCAGTTCTAATGTTCCGTTTCCAACAGTTGTTTGTTGCAGTAGCAACGAAAAATCTCGTGATTACAGAATATTCTGGAGTGATGCGAAGTTTCTCATTCCTATTAGTAATGCGTAACGAAAACTTGAAAATAATTAGTATCGTCCCGTAATGGTACACATAGAACCTATCTTGTAATATTAACATTAACGCCGCCGCTGCTCCCAAGATATTGATATCGCTAAAAGATTATTACCAAAATTCTTATTTTGGACGTTTTCCCTGTGATCCATAATTATATTTTTTTACATCTCATAATCATTATTTCCATTATTACACTAAATTATTTTTTATAAAATTATTATTTTATAATTTAAATATTCTTTTTTTTTGGTGAAAATTCCTCCTAAATTATTATTTGTGCTTGAATGACCGCAAAACCTGTAATCAACGAATTGTAATTTAGATAGTTGTTTAATAACAAAAAACTGTATATCTCTCGGTCAGAGAGACAGGCATTGTGTGGTTTGAAAAAAATAATTAATAAAATTATTTTATTTTACCTAACTATGCTTCGACTTTTATTTCTTTTGTGCCAAAACGAATTGATATCTTTATCCCTTCGTGTTTAACAAATCGAAAGCTTTACTGCTTTGGCCATACAAAGTTGATGCATTGCTTTTGATTCTTTTGATATTGATTTTATTAATTTGATATTGCTTTTATTAATTTGATATTAAAATTATTATTTTAATATTTTTTTGTTGTTTGTTATTAATTTTATGAATTCCTATTACTGTTTTGGGATAGTTATATAATTTGTCATTTGTGTTGAATATTCTTTAATCGCATTGGTAAATTTGTTTCTTTAAATTTAAATGATATTTTGGACTTTACTTTTGCCCTTGATTGCATAATCTCCGTGAATTTGCAGACCTTTAGAACCCAAATGAACTCCACTTTGTGTAAATCATTCAGTCTAGCTCTCGATACAATTCTTTAGTCAACCTAACTTCTGCATTGAGTGCCATAAAGGCTTTGTGCGTAAATTCTTAACTAGAAAATCCAAAAATCAATCCGTCAAAATGATAGAATAAGCCTTTCTTGACCATATTGATGGGTTGGTCAAAATATAAATTTAAACAGAATGCAGCTAATTACATGTATATGACGTCATGTATGAATCTAAAAAAAAATAGTGTATTAGTATCCACAATACGTTTAAGCATGCGTTCTATCTAGCATAGATTTATCGTTATATATAAAAAAACCAAACACACAATTTTGGTTAAAACGATAAAGGACATGTCCACTTAAAGCGACGACGGATCCGCTATAAAACAATGGTCCATAATAGAACTGTTTCTATAACTGGAGACCGATTATGACCTATATCTTACAATTCACTCTCGTTATGTGCAAGAAAAAAATCTTCACTATATCAAAGCGAAGGTTTAATAGTATAACGAGAGATTCACTATATCGAGAGTGAGTTGTATTACTTGCTTCTCTTTAGAGTAACGTGCTTGTCCTATACAAAAAAAAACGAAGAATAAATAATTCTTTTCTGGGCTGAAAAGAATATGGTGGTATCTTTTTTTTACTAGGTGATTCTTGATAAATCCAATTACAATCAAACCTGGATATAACGAACTCTCGTGCTAGAGGTTTTCCTTCGCTATATCGAGGTTCCTTATGAAACTTCGTTATATAAAGGTAAATTTGAAACCAATGGTTTCTTTTCTCCTTTAAGTCCAGGTCTCGTAATTATATCCAGGTTTGACTGCATATTACATGTATGAGCCAAACTCTCTATAATCATTGTGACTTTACTATGAAATTATCTTGGTTAATTTGGCCACTATAAACGTCGTCGTTATACGTGAGGTTGACTTCACTTTACCATGTAAAGCTTTTTGATTGTTGCACAAATAATGATACAGATAATCTAGCGAGAATATCTTTATTGAATTTACAAACAAGGATGAACAGACCAGACATCAAGAAAAAGCCCAAGAATTTTACCTTACATGATCGTTATTACGTTGTAATAATAGTAGAAAAACGAGAGTTCTTTTAGAATTAATTATAATGATAAAATGCAAACTTGCATACATATAACTAATTTAAGATTTTTTGCGTGTAATTGTCAAAAAGTTTAAAATAAAGCATGAATTCAACCTTAATTCTTTTAGCAAAAGAAAGATGTAAAAGCGTTTTTGTGTATTATTGTTGTCGTAATTATTATATTAATATCTATTCGGAAGGAAGCCGTCTCAATTTTTCTTTCAACTCTCTTTGGCCTCTTTTTTTGGCATAAGGGATTCATATGTGGTGGTAGTTGTCGTCGTCATATTAGGGTTATCAATAGTAGCAATATTATTTGTGTTATTATTGTCAATAATATTATTGTTAAGATTATTATTAGTTGCAGCAACTGAAGTTCCAGTCGTCTCATTTGCCATGGTGGTATTATTTTCGTTAGCAACAGGCGTGGAAGAGACAGCAGTAGCCGTGGCACCACCTTCAGCAGCGATTCTCGCTTTCTCAGCCGCAATCCATTTTTTCACCGCCTCGACGCCCGTCTGACTCTTCGGCACACCTAAACGTCTCGCCATCCTGGAAACGGTACTTTGATCCATTTTAATGCTATTACCAGCGTATGAGGAAATTTCTGCGCCGATTTTCCACTGTGGGATATTAGTGCTTTCGACCCGTAGATTGAAATATTTGATAAATTCGTCTAATAGAGATGCTTGTTCTGGGGTAAATGTAGGCGGTTCACGACGGCTAGTAGTGTTCGAGCCTGCCGTGGCGGATTGTGCCGTAGTGTTAGGATGTGCAGGTGATCGCGAGGCTCGTTTCCTTATTGTCGACATATTTTGTGGATGCTGTTGCATTATTCCGCTATTTGGCAAAGTCGTGGTCAAGGCAGCAGCTGCGATTGTCTCATTAGTAGTCGTTGGACTGCCCGGTGAAGTGTTTGCGGTTGATCCCGCTGCAGCACGAGTTGGGCCTTTAGTATATGGGGCGGCTCTCTGTTTCACCTTTGAATTTTTACGAGACATATTCGATGAATTCGTCTCGGAATCAGAAACTTGCGGTGCCGGCATGAGAGTCTGTAGTTCTTGTGGCATCACCGCTTGCAACTCGTCGATAGCACGTGAAGCAAAACGCATCGCTTGATGGGCTTGATGAAATGCTTTATATACCTAGCAGCATCAATGACATGATTAGATGTTTTGAAAAACAAGAAATTTAATCTAAATTCTTTTCCCAATCGAACAAGAAATCGAAAGATAGGAAACAAGACCGATATAGATAGAAACGAAATACCGCTTCGGTTTTTGCCTTCATTGTAGCGACAAAGGTCGGGTCCACTTCCATTTTGGGTTCATTTCCAGTTGACATCCTGACGAGAGGCTCGATTCGTAGTTGTGTGCGTATGTGTTATATCAAGAAACGATGACGAATGATGAAAAAATAAATTATAATGATATGTGTTTGTGTGTATGTGTGTGTATGTGTGTGTTATGTGTTAATGAGAATAATTGTTATGTTGAATTTATTGATGCTGCCGCTGTTTTTTTATTTTATGTGAAAACCGCTCCTGAGAATGCTGAATGATGGACACTGTTCAACAGGCCTACACACTATTTTTTTTTTACTTATATTTCTAAATCAGTAAATCGAACCATAGATTTATTAGTGGTGTGAAATGATGGAATATAACGTGGGAACATGCTCAATGATGAATGATGATGATGATGATGATGAAAAAATAATGTTAGAGAATAATCATCATCGTAATCATCACCATCATAACATTACAGAATATGAATAATAAAAAACTTACAAGTTTCGTGCGTAAATCTTGTCTCTTGACAAAAATTACGATTTGCCCTTTTTTTTTGCCTGTCGACTTTTTGACAATTTTTTTCGATTGTTTACCAAAGTGGGAGAAAAGAATTTGTGTGCGTGTGCTGTTTTGTTTGATGTGTGTGTGTGTGTGTGTGTGTTTCTCTTATTCCTTATCCTATTACTCTTACTATACTCCTAATTATTGCTTTTTTTTTTAGTATTAATAAAATATAGTATTTTTTTATTTGGGATTTTTGATTTTATTTTGTTATTTTTTTTGTTAATTATTATTATCACGTATATTATTATTATTATTATTATCACTATTATGATTATTATATTTTGAATGTTTCGAATTGGGCTGAAGTGGACAAATGCAGAGAATTTGCTGCAAAACCCCAAGATGCAATGGAAAATCACTAATATGTATCACACAGAACGACTAATGTATATATAAGATTATATAAAATGTTGTCGGTCATGATAATGATGGTGAAGATATCTTCCAAAAATGTAATATAATAATATAATACCCTTTTTTTTAATTATTAGAATCTGTATGAGCTATCTCTTGTTCGGAAAAAGGATTGCCGCCATCATGATTTAGCTGATGATGATGTATGATTGATTGATAAACTTCATTCTCATTGGAGAAACACAAGAGAAGTATGATTTTCTTTAATTATTATTATTATTGTTATGCAAGCGGGCATCAACAACACAACAAAAACTTTTTGTGGACTGTTGTGAACGAGTTACATAGATCTTTCGATGCATTCACCAATCAATGTATCACGATTATTATTCTACCCCCTTACTATGATGTATCTACCATAACATTTATTTCTATTTGTCAAAATCATCCATCATCATCAAAACACTGATTGATTCAAACGTACATAGAATTATTATTGCGCATAATCGTATTACATGTAAATAAGTGCGCATCAATCATAAACAACCACGATGTTTTTTAACAATATAATTTTTTTGTGCATTTTATTTTCGTTCAGTTATAATTTGACAAAAAAAATGCGGGTCTCGTAATCGAACTATTTATTCTCTAAGGGCGAAGTAGCACCTACATTCCCAATATGGAATTTTTTAATCGCTATCCTAAGAAAAGCTGTTAAGGTTGATCTAATAATAAATTAATGCTTTCATTTATTATTTATTTATTTATTAATTAATTAATTACCGCCAATGTTTTTCAAAATAGGAAATCTGTCACTTTGAAGGGATGTATCGGCCAGTGAGGAGAAAGTTTATATTTGCATTAATCTTTTCTTTTGACCTTTTTTCCGACCGGCAACTGCAATTATGAAGGATATTCTTTTCCGACGTGTGATCGTGCGATTTACCAATCGTCTCGTAAGAAGTTCAAATACATGTTTTGTTACAAATCAATGTTTTCACGCATCATGATGATCTATATTTGTGCGTGTGCATTTTCGCGCGTGTGGCGGTGTTATGTAAGTAGGAGAATTTTCACAATAGAACATGTATAATTCTTGTTTAAAAGGTGAGGTTAAAATAAACTTCACGTTCGGAGGATTTGCATTCCCACGCTTGTCTTTAAATTTCTAGTCCGCTCGATTGTTATTTATGTATCATGTAATTGTGCATCATGATTCATCCCCTTTTTTTACATTAAGGAGTTGGGGCTAGATTGAGCTAAACTATTAAAGGAAAGTGTTGATGAATAAACGAAACGAAATTAATGAAAAAATTACGTGATTTGTTTTGACCAATGAAAAAACGATGCAATTCATGTGATCCGTGTCGGGCGAAATGTACGTATTAGCGTTAGTAGCGGATTTTCGTTATCGGAAACTTTATCTGAAACCCATTATCCTGTGAATTTTTATATATTCTGAAACATGACTGATATCGTATTGTTATATTTTATAAATCGAAGTTTCAAAATACGAAATCACGTTTACTTGTTAATTAATATTTAGTCAGAAATTACGATATGAAAGATAAATCTAACATAAGATGAAAAACTATTTTGCTTCTCAAATCAGCTTGTGGTGTTGCAAATTATGACATATATATGAAATGATGATAAATATCATTATGAAACGTTATTTAATATTAATATTATTTGAGTAGACATCGAAGCGTGTGGATATGCCAATGATTATCTTAATTTTCCAGCCACATCAAGAAAAATGAGCAATATTATTTCTTAATATAATTATTATTACGGATAAAATTAGTTAATAAATTAGTTAATTTAGATTATTAGATTTACCCCCAACGGATATTCAAATATGTAATACGTATACAAAAAAATTGTCCTTTTGACATATATTACCTCATATTACATGAGATAAATGTCAGTGCCCTTATGATATCTGAATTTAATTCTATTTACCATAAGTAGTTTAAACCCAGAATAAAGTTTACGCAAAAAAACATGCTATCAAAAAATAATGATTATTTCAAAAGATCTCGAAATATGCGAGCTCAGCATTTCATAGCAACATACAATAATTACATGTACATATTAATGTTACATAGCATAGCTTAATGCTAGCCAATCAAATGATTCATTTTATATTTTTGTCTGCTACCGCATAAAAGATTAGGACATACCACGTGATGATATATATCACGTGACAGGAACAGCCTGTTCATCACCCAAAACTACGTTTTGATTAATATATAGTCACGCCTCTTATATGAATACTCTAAAAGAACATAAATTTTTAAAGTATCCAGACTAGTATCCACTTTTCTGCAAATGCAGAATTTGCAGAATCCTTATAGTTTATAACGTGATTTGTGTGTTTGCATAATGATGATGTGCTTTTACAATTTACATTATAAAAATGATCTATATGAAATTTTTTACATGACTACAAAATAGTTTAATGATAAAGAGCATGCATAATCAAAAGAATCAATTGAATTAAAAAAATTAAAAAATTTGGTAATTTGGGACGTGATATCTCGACATTCAACAGTCCAATTTGGGCAAAAATAGAAGCATTAGATTCAACTAAGATAGACGAATCTAATGATTCTAGGTTTGTCCAAATTGGACCCAGAATGACTAGATATTTTGTCCGAATTCTTTAAAATTTGATCATCATGATGAAGGAGGTTTTTAATTTGCAGAATTTGCTGTGGAGAAAAGCAATAAATTACTGCAGTAAACTGGACACCCTAGTCCCGACCATGTTTACATGTACACCGTTCTGCTATTGGTAAAATTAAGATTTATATGTTCGCATCTTGTAACAACAAATAATCTTTTCGTTACATGATAATGAAAATTACGAAGAAATGCAGCAGCTTTTGATAGAAAGTAAAAATCAAAGCAGATTTGGTTTTGTCGATGACCTTCCATATATGTCATCAAAAAAGAGAAAGGTTAGCAATGGGTAAAATTTAATGTCCATCTAGTTTTAAGATCAATTTTCTTGCATATATTACCATAGATAGCTTTATAAGTAGATTACATGTTTAGTTTGCGTAGAAAGATCTATGATAATTCAATTTCGAATATTAATTATAAATTTAATTTTTTAAAAATATACTACTCTGTTGAGAATGTATGCTTTCCTCAAAAGATTTGAATTACTCGAGTCTGCCAAGGCGACCTCTAAAAGTTCGGACCACATGATATTGCTGATCGACACCGGCTCCTCCGATCTGCCACTTTGAGATATTCATGTGCTACAAGTATACTAAGTATACTTTAATATATATTAAAGTCTCTTTGTCTTAATATAGTGAATTTTCACAAACTGTCCAGGTACTTTTACTGTAAAGAGTCTTGATTGTATTAATTATATATTTATGAGATGATAAGTGTAAGAATCTATTGGATTTGCTCAAGTAATTCTTCACAAGATTTATCAGTCACATTCAGAATAATTTGCATTGGTAAAGAAGTTCATTCAGTTGTAAGATGACTAAGAAATATAATAAGAGTTTGTTCAAGTAATTTTTCACAAGTAATATCAATCATATTAGAACTTATATTAGCTTATATTAGTATTATATTATTTATTAAATTAATATTATTATTCTTTTTATAGATAATGGTAACTAATTATATAATTATATCACATTTATTATTTATAATTAGAATCTTTATACTCTTTATTATGTATATCTTTTAATATTTCCAAATTTTTTAGATATATTTGAATTATAAAAACTTTAATAATATATCTCAGTTAGTAATAAGCTATATTAGCTATTTTATTAATATTTATACTTATTATTAAATCTCAGATCTTATATTTAACAAAGTTTTTTATATCAAAATAGTTAATTTTGATTTATATGATATCACTTGTAATTCTTCTAATATATTCTTATAATTTTTCTAACATATTCTTTATAATTCTAGCTAATAAATATACTTTTTATTTTTTTTAATTCTGATTCTTCTTATATTTCCTACATATCTTATGACATATATTATTTTAAGTAAATTAATTATCAGAGTGATTATATTTGTATTTAATACAAAATATTATTCTTTTAGAATTTATTTATTTGTAATTAAAATTTAGATATTAAATAGTAATATATAAGAGATCTTTATAATATATTTAATATATTTATTTTATAGTTAACGTTAGAATTTAGATATCAAATAGCAAAAAAATAATATATTTAAAATTATATAATTATAAAATTTGAAATTAAAACTAAAATTTAAGTATTATTTAAATTAAACTTAATCAAATCTAATATAATATATTTATCTAATAAATTAAAATTAAAATTTTTCATAATATTTTAGATTTCAATTACTTGATAATATATAAGAGAAATAGTATTTAAATATTATTATATCAGAGATCAAAGTTATATATTTATTAAAATAATAAATTAGCTTAAATAATTTATATTAACTTAATTTATTTTTTTTAATATATTATTAAATATAATCAGATCAAGCTAAGTAAGAATATACTTATTATATTATTTAATAATACTTTTTTTATTCAAATTATAACTAAATATACTTCTTCACCAATGCAAATTATTCTGAATGTGACTGATAAATCTTGCAAAGAATTACTTAAGCAAATACAATAGATTCTTACTCTTATCATTTTGTAAATATATAAATTAATACAGTCAAGACTCTTTATAGTAAAGATATCTGAACAGTTTGTGAAAATTCACTATATCAAGATAAAGAGACTTTAAGTGCCAACCAGTATACTTGTAGCACATGAATATCTCATGGATCGGAACTGACGGATCGGAAGAGCCGGTATCGATCAGCAATATCACGTGGCCCGAACTTCTAGAAGTCGTCCAGGCAGACTCGAATTACTTGATACCTAAGATAAATTTGACTTTATTACTTTATAATGATAAATTAACGTTAAACTTTTAAACAGTCATTTTTTATCTAACTGACTTGTTCACTTATTCTTTACTATTCAACAAGTTGTTTATCTATATATTCTTAATAAAAAACTATATCTTGTTAAATTATATAATAGAAAACAATGATAAATTTAAATGAATCGAATTAGAAAAGCCATATCGCTGTGCATAAGTTGCGAGCGGCTCAATAATTGACTTTAAAAGCGTGAAATATTTGACGCGAACACGTATTGCCTTTGATAATTGCGTCTAGAACTCCGTTCAATCCGTGACCCGAACCGCTCCGCTTCGGATTGCTATAAAAAAGATCGGTTCGATTTCGGTTCTTTCCGGGGTTGAGTCGGATCCGAAACGGTAGAATCTGGCAGGTTCGAATCGATCCGATGATTTTTTGAGTGATGATATCTCGTCGCTGATTGGACAAAATCAAATCACGTAACGGTTAATAATTAATTCTTTTGTGGGGTGGGTTAAAGTTAGGTTAGAGTTCGCGGTCTGGGCTATATGTAAAAAATTTTTTTATTACAGCTGTTTCATTCTAACTGGGCAGCTGATTAAAAAATTGGTTGCCGATTCGATAAAGTTAGTGTGAGATATATAACAGTAAATAGTAATATCATAAAACTTTGGATGATCGATAATATATAATTATAATTATACTTGTATTATGTGTATATTACTATCGCATATTTTATTTTTGTTAATGGCACTTTCAAATTATATTCGTTGGAAAATTGTTGAAAAAATATATATATATCGTTTTATTTCTTATTCGTTGGAAAATTGTTGAAAAAATATATATATATCGTTTTATTTCTTATTCTATATTTTAAAACAAAAATATCGGAAGTGTTCGAGTCTGGATTTATCTGGATTGAGCCAATTCATGGAGACCATTAGTATCGAGAAGAATATTATTACTTTGATTGCTTGAGACTTCATTCCAAGACTCTAACAAAAGAATATATAAAGGTCTCAATTGTTAAAATGTATTATTCAGAAATTTGATAGTTACAAGCATAAATAAATAATAAATTACCTTGATGCGGCTTTCACTTTGGGAAGAGTCTATCGTACAATTTTGTTTCTGCTCCAAAATTAGTTTAGTTTTAAGACACTCGAGAAATTATTCTATTTCCTCATGTCCTCATGCTGAACGTTACATTTTGCTCTGGAATGGTTGTCGTTGTTGGTGCTGATGATTAAACGGAGGAGTTGAAGCAGATTGATTATCTTTTTCGTGTGATATACTAACATTGAAATCTGATTTTACTAACACTTGTAGAATCTAAATATTTGATATATTGAAATCAATCCGAAATATCATTTTGACTGAATATAAGAACAAATGTGCATACCTGTATCAGTTGTGATTGATATTAATTTCGAAGTAAATATTCGACTGCATTAGAGTGGATTTCTCGTTTTTTGTAGAAGTAATTTCATCTCGTCAAGTTCATCTAATTTTTGCTGTTCTAGTCTAACACACTCTTTGATTTCTTCATATAGGATCCCAACTTTTTTCAATAATAAATTTGCACCATCCAGGACTAGTATTTGGTATCGTAGGTCGTACTCCTTTATAGTTGCAAGATATTCAATGTTGGTAAATCTTTCAAAAGGAATCAATTCGAATATATTTAGATATTCATAATTTTGTTGCGTTCTTTTATTAAATTGTCGATATGTTTATCTTCGCTAGACAATTCATCGTTATAAATTCGTTTGTGATATTTGAAATAGTCATCGCAACCCCAATTGTATCGACAACGAGTACATTCACTACAATCATGAGTGTTGTGAACTAAACACTCATCGCAGTATTTGTTCTTTTGACAACGCTGATATTCATTACAATTATGAGTATTTGATTCCATCCTCGAGTTCAGTGGATAAAATAGATGAATAGGGTGGGTTGAAACGCTTGATGCACCTGCAAATTGGGACATTCTAACGATTGCAGTGATTGAAAGGTTGTGTACGTCACGATTGCAATGTCGTAAGCTGTTAAAGCATGATTTGAGCTACTTGAATTACTTGTATATGTCTGAAATAATCGGGTTTACCCGACATTCCAACATCCCGACACCCAACATCCCGAAATTCCAACCTCCCAACAACCCAACATCCCGAAATCTAACGTCCGACAACCCAACTTCCGACAAAGCCAACTTCCCGACAACCCAACTTCCAGACAAAAGCCAATAATTGATAGAGAGGGAAGAATTATAAATGTTATTAATGATCGAGCAAATCGTTCAGTGTTAGATTTTCTTCGTGGAATTGTGCACAATCTTTCTTTGTGTTGCTTTTATTCTTTATATAAGCTTTACGTTCAATTTCCTTGACTTTTTATTATATGTAATTAAAATTTACGTTCAATTCCCTTTTATGATAAATCAGTTAGTTATTAACGAATTAAAAATAAAGTTGCGCAATTACCAAGAATTATCGCGTTAATGTTTAAATGTTAATAAATGCTAGTTGTCGATCCCTATAATGGACTAGTTTGTTGGGAAGTTGGGTTGTCGGGATGTTGGTTTCGGGATGTTGGGTTGTCGGGATGTTGGAACTTCGGGAAGTTGGGTGTCGGCGGCCACACAGTCGTACAGATGAGACACGTAAGTTAAAATGCATGCGCTCTTATGTGACGGAACACTATCTTCACAAAAAAATAACGCGATTAAATAATTATTACGCACACCATAAAAAACTTATTGACGCTAGGTTAAAATTCGGGGGAGTGGAAACAATAGAATTATTATGCAATATGTAATTGAATTCTTGTATCATGACAAATTCCATCATCTAGATGAGAGGAAAAGAAGAAAAAGAAAATGATTCGCAGAAGAAAGTGAGTTAGAGCAATAAATTATATAATATTGATATGTATTTCTATATCGATATATATTTAATACAATATAAATTATAATGTTAATAGCGCTAATTGTGCTAATTTTAGAAAACACTAAAAAAGTAAGTGGTGATGCTTTTACGATATCTATAATACATTAAGCTATAATAAGTGATGAAATTTAAAAAAATTATTTACATGTGTGATAGCATTTAATATGATTTTAATCATATTTGGAATTATTAGAAATTGCAAATTCCGAATAATATTTTGAAGCTTCTTTTTCATTTTTATGTACCCCAATACCAGACTCATAGCATAAACCAAGATTGTATAGTCCTTGAGGATACCCTTTCTTTGCTGATTTCTGATACCATTCAAATGCCTTTTTCTTATCCTTTTCAACACCTATACCTGTTTCGTAACAAAAACCGAGATTACACTGACTGCGAGCATTTCCGCACTCTGCTGATTTTGAATACCATTCAAATGCTTTTTTCTCATCTTTTTGTGTCCCAATTCCATTTTCATAAAGATAGCCGAGATTACATTGTCCTCGCGCGTTTCCACCTTCAGCAGACTTCAAGTACCATTCAAATGCTTTTACGCTATCTTTCTGTACTCCAACTCCACGCTCAAAGCACATTCCTAGACAATACTGTGCCGAAGCATTACCTTTTTGTGCAGATTTTAAATATAATCCATATGCTTTTTGTTCATCTTTCGCTGTTCCTATTCCATTTTTATAACAGAAGCCAAGATTACATTGTCCTCGAGCGTATCCTCTTTCAGCAGATTTAAGATACCATTCAAAAGCTTTTCTTCCATTTATTTGTGTTCCTATCCCTTCTTCATAGCAGACGCCAAGTTTATATTGTCCTTTGACGGATCCTGCTTTGGCCGATTTAGAGTAGTATTCAAAAGCTTTGGACACATCTTTTTTTGTCCCAATGCCCTTCAGGTAACATGAACCAAGTTGTGATTGTGCATGAACATTTCCATTATTCGCGGATTTCAGATACCAATCAAATGCCTTTGTTTCATCTTTTATGGTGCCAATTTCAAACTGATAACAATACCCACAAAAGTATTGTGCCAAGGCATCTTCATCGTTAGAAGATTTTTCATACATCTTCAATGCTGAATGAAAATTTTGTTGAATTATAGATCCGGTATGGTAAAGAAAGCCTAATAATGTTATAAGTTGCGTATTTTGCTGAGAATTTAACAAGCATTTAATGTCAAATTGCTTGGGATTTTTTTCGCGATAGTATGATTGTAGCGTATTTCCTATTTGAGGAATATCTTCACCGGCATCGAGTTGTTTATGGAATAAAGCTAATAGTTCATTTAAAAATTCTTTTTCTGAATTATTTTTTAAAATTACTTTAGAACTTTCTGGAGTCGAATCATTACTTGGGGATGGCAATTCTTCCAATGGATCTGTCGATATCCATTCTATTTCATCAAGATCTTGGATTACATTTTTTATATTCGGTCGTTTTTCAGGTGTATTCTCCCAACAATTCTGATAAAGCTCCACATATTTAATTGGAGTTCCGAAAATTGTTTTTTCTTTCTCGGCCTCATCGTTAAGAGCATATCCAAATTTATTAGTTGGAATACGACCACTCGAGATGACCCAGAAAAGAACTCCAAGACTGAAAATATCCGATTTCTCATCCCTTCGAAAGTCATTATTGATTATAAATGCTGGATCCACATAGCATAATACGCCATAAATCGTCTTTGAATTAGTCTTATCTTTGGAAAGTTTCGAATACCCTAAATCTGCAATTTTAATTTTTCCATTATGCACCAGCACATTAGTATGATTCTAGTTTATGACAAAAAAAATGTTATGTTAGTAATAATTCATAAATAGATATTTATCGCTATAAAAAACTAAACTATGCATATACAACAGAGGCGTACACGTTTAACAGTTTTCGCCGTTATAGTGTTAAAACATGTACTTTCGAAAGTCATAAGAGCTTACCAAATCTCGGTGGATTATACCTTCATCATGTATGCACTTTAAACCTCTTGCAAGTTGCCCGGCTAGCTTCAACTTATCATCCCCACTCAACGTAGAAAATCTAGTCTTCAAATAAGTTTCAAGGGTTCCATTATTAGCATATTTCAAGACGAGCAAATATTTACGAGAAAATGGATCTAAGCGTTTTTAAGAAATATTTAATACATATTTTAATAGTGTGTTACCATTATGTCAACTGCAGTATATCATACTATTACCTTTGGTGATGCCATAGAAACGAACGATATTTGGATGGTAATTAAGTTTAATTAAAATTTTCAACTGAATGAATAAATACGAGAAATAATTAGAGAATAATTCAATAGCCTATAACATGTTTTTTTAATAAAACTACCTCTTTACTGAATTGTTCGTAAAACTCCTTTTCGTGTTTGTCCTTTGGATGAAGACTTTTTAAAGCCACCTTAATGCCGTCTTTCCAATCAGCTTTTGTTACCTTACCAAAGGCACCTTCTCCGATTTTTTTTTTATTAGAAAGTTCGCAAAACTCGATAATTTTTATTGAATGTTGTTTAATTATAGATTTTATCCATTCATTTCCGTTAAAAGTTAACGAAAATAAAGATGACATTTTACATGTGTCGCCGCCATCGCTATACTGAGAAGTTATATAAAGAAAGCTGAACACAAAGTTTACACATGTAACGGTGATAAAAAATAAACGTAAAGCAAATCGTAGCGGCACATGTAAAATACAGTGATGTTATACAAATACATGTGCATACATGTTATTGTCACATGACATGCTTGACCAACTCGTGTTAAGAAATTAATAATTTTGAATTCATTTTATTAGTAATAATTAAAAAGTGTGTTCTAAAATTTCAAATTAGTTTGAATTTGATTTATTTCTAATTATTATTTATTCAGAAATTAGATTTGAAATTTTAGTTATAATATCTCTCAATCTATAAGATAGTAAATTTGCTTATATTTTAAATAATTCAATAATTTTATTCTAATAATGAACTTTTTATTATTAAAATAAAATTTTTAATTAGTAAAAATTTAATTCTAACTCTAACTCCAATTCAATGAAATATATATTTTGAATTAAAATTGTTATAATAATATTTTAAAAATATAAAAAAGTTCATGGATAAATTTATCGGCCAAGTACTACAAAATAAGAGATAACTTTTATTATAATATTATAATATTATAATATAAAGTTTTATATAACATTATTTTGTTCGATAAGTATATAACTTTTCTAAATATTTTTATTTTTTTTTTTCATAAAATTTCAGGTATAACATATTTAAAGAAACTTCTTTATAAATAAAAATCTATTTAAATAGATAAAAAATTTTAAATTGGAATTCTAAATAAAATTTAATTATTTAAAGGAATGAAGCTTATTTTAAAGTATTTGAAAAATAATTATTATTATATTTAATAATTATTAAGACGAATCTGATCTAAACTGATTTATATCAATATTCAAATTATAAATTGATAAATAAAACAGTAAATAGTTAAATAAAGACTCTTAATAATAATATATAAACTCACCAGACAAAAGTATCAAATTAAATGTTGGTATTTTATGAAATGATAAAGATATTGATGTCTTTATCATACAATAAAATGAGAACATACTAATATATATTGCATGAATTTTATATTATTCGAATCAGAAAATCATAAATTTTTTATTGGTAACCTTAATATTGCGTTGGATTGCCTTTAACTTTTAATTACAGCCTGAACTCTTCATGCCATTCTTTCCACTAATTTTTCTAAATAACTAGTATCTATGTTTACCCATTCTTCCTTCAAAGCCATGAACAATTCTTACTTATTTTTGGGATGGGGCTGTCTTTTGCGAATTGCTCTTTCTAAATAATCCCAAACATGCTCAATTGGATTAAGGTCTGGGCTCTGAGCAGGCCATGGAAGTGAAGCAATTAATTTTCTTCTTTCCACTGATGCACCAGTCTTCATCCTGGAAAGTATATAAATTCAGTCCCAATTTATTCAAGAATGGCAGGAGACTGTTTCTAAATAGTTCTATATAGCCAGCACCATTTATTTTTCCTTCAATTGTGACTAAAGGTCCAGGCCTATTATTAACAAAACAGTCCCATATCATAACACCTCCTCCTCCATATTTAATAGTTGAAATAAGGCAATCAACAGCATATTTTTCTTTTAGCCAATGCCAGACTGTTTTGTGAGCATTATTTTGAAATAGACAGAAACGAGATTCATCACTCCAAATGATTGTTTTAAATTCAGCAATCCAATTTTATCTTTCTTTACACCATTCAAAGTGTTTTTTCTGATTTGTTTCAGAAATAAAAGGTTTTCTTATTTCAACAAGGCTGT